AATTTATTTAGGTATAATTTTGAACTTGTGTGCAATACATTTCATTTGAATCATTTAAGGACTTAAAACATTATCATAATGTTACAGTAGCTTGCAATAATAGTAAATATACAGTTTAATAATAAAGCCTCTACCTCATTCTTGGTGACCTGTTAAGTTTTTGTATTTAAATTTTAGTGTTTTTTGTTTTTTTGTAGTGGTATTCGGTGTAAAAAGCTTAGGAACCTATGTGCTTAAGTGAATCAACTGGCCATCCTACTGTTTTTATTTTGAACTGTAGGGGGGTGGCACGCCTCGAAGGAAAACACAGACAAGGTTGAGTGTTACAACCCCAAGACTAACCAGTGGACCATGTGCGCCCCAATGAAAGAACGACGCTACCGGCCCGGCGCTGCCGTGGTGGATGGAAAGATCTACGTCCTAGGAGGAGAGGAAGGATGGGACAGGTGAGAGGAAAGCAAAACTCTCGGCACCTTTTGCATTCGGTCGCATGAACTTGATGCCTGATCGCACTCTGTTAGATATCATGACACAATCGAGAGGTACTGCGACGAGACCAACACATGGGAGATTGTCGGGGAGATGCCCACCAGTCGAAGCTGGCTCAGCTGCGTATCACTCTTGCTGAGAAAGGACGATTTGTCGCACTACTACCCAAGTTTGCCAAACAGCTAAGTGATGACATCCGAGAGCAATGCCTTCCCGCGTCAATGCGCACCCTCAACAGGAACACAGAACCACCATGCTCATAGCTGTATTTTTGTATTATTAGTAGTATTGTTATTTATTTATTTGAACTCCGTGTAACTGTGAGAGTGACAAGATGCTGTATGGGCCAAGAAATCCAACTGAATATTTTTCGTAAGGTACCCATGCAAAGGATAAACGTGAGCTGTGCTTTGTATTATAAATGTTTAAGGATTGTAGTTATTTCGTGTTAATTATTTTTGTAATTGGTGTCAGTAAATTTTAATTAGAAGTGACTTTAATAAAATTATTCATTATCTTTTGAAACAGCTGCCTGTCTTCCGGTTTTCTATCAATGCATCCATTATA